AAAAAAAAAAAAAAAATCAGGTTTCAAGTAGAAAATACCCATTTTCTTTACAAATCAGACTTCCTGTAAAAGAAATTTAAGAAGTACTGCCCTAGAAATCTCAGTGCACATGTCCATCCTATACTTCACTCAGGGCCTCCATTCCTACACTAAGACTTTTCAGGCGTTCTATTCCTACAGCAAAATTACTCACACCTTCTAGTCCTACACCAAGATTATTCTGACACTCCATGCCTATCCAACATTACTCAAGCCCTCCATTCTTACACCGAGAATACTCGCCTTCCATTCTTACACCGTGTATTGACTAAACAAGTGCTCCACTCCTACTAACACATCAACTTAACTACCTGCTCCTGTCCAATTCCTTCTCCTTCTCAACCCTTCTAGATGCCCTTCCTTCTCTCCTCCTTCCTAAAAGTTCTCTAGAAAGCAAAGACTCCATATCTTATCTATCCCTGAACTAATAACTTATGTCAAGTCCAATGCTCTAACTTAAATAGATATAAGAAATGTTTCCTTAAAAGTAAATTCCAGTGGCGGAATGTGATGTTGGGAGAGGCACTAAAACCACCTTATCAGTGGTTCAAGATACAATGACAAGACTGGAAAGAAAGCAAAGGCCATAGAAAGCAACCAAACTCACCTGTAGGCATTTTAACTTAGAAAAGGCCTGGTGATCATAGAGCCCCCTCAAGACTCCTTCCTCATAGGTCTGGTTTTGCTCTGTTTTTCAAAGTACATATTTGCAGTATAGTCACTATAGATAACTGAGGCAGGTGCATAGGACACCTTATTTCTTTTGACATCCCCACCCCCAACCTCTCATCCCTGTCACACTTGCAAAAGATCCATTTCCCTGTTTCCTGCTGTCTTAGCTTTTATTTTGCACTTTAATTTCTACTTTGAGGGGGGGGGGGCCTGCCCATTAGCTCAGGTGTTTAAGTGACTGCTTAAACAAAGCAATCAGGATGCTGTGGTTCGATCCCCAGTTCCTCAAGTCTTACCAGACCTGCCCTGAAGGCATTCCTGAGCCAGCCAAAATAATAACAATAATAATAATAATAATAATTTCTACTTTGAGTTTTTCATATTTTTTAAGGGAAAGAAACAATTCTCAAAAGGGCACACAAAGAATTTTTAAAAATGCATGGTTAAGGGACACTAACGTAGGCTGATTTGAGTAATCATAAAATATAAGGTTAATTTCTAAATTTCTGTGAAAGAATTATACATTCTAGGATTAAAACAATGAAACCAACATTAGGAGGAGTATTTGTCACCTACTGTCAAAGATATGATAATGTGATAAGACAATGAGTTCCACATAAAGAACTCTGAGTTCATTCAAAGTAAAAAGTCTGACTGGCTGCTCTAGAGGGGTTTTCCAGTTTGAAGGTTTTATCAACAGGACTATAAAAGTTTAGATAGTCATATAAGCATTCTTCTTATTCAGAAATGAATACCATAATGAAAATTCCTTTTCAAGAGTTGCTTGCAGTATACCAAAATCAAGTTTAGAAGTTTCCCAACCCAAATTTAGAATCAATGTCAAATAAATTCATTCATTTTGAAAAACTCACAAGCTTGCTATGATTCTGAAATAATTTTACTCTGACTCACTTTCAGTTTTCTTAATAGTATTTTTCGAAAGACTCAAAGGTATTCTGACATCCTATATGACCTTTGTCAGCTTTCAAATATTGACTTTTAATTTTTTTTTTTTTTTTTTGGCGGAACCGGGGATTGAACTCAGGGCCTTGCGCTTGCCAGAGAAGCACTTATTCCACTGAGCCATCTCCCCAGCCCTCAAATATTGACTTTTAAATGTGACTTTTCTACCTCCTAATACTGTTAGGAGCAATTATGGTCCCTATAAATTCTGAGATGTTATTAAAGCACAGCATCTCACAGCACAGCAGCTAGTTCAAAATTACCTAATTATTACCTGAAGATGATTCAAATTATTGAAGACAAAGAGCCTGACTCAAATGTTCCAAAAACAGACTTTAAGTATCTAACATAAAGGTAATTTAAAACTTATGAGAAAATTCTACCCATTAGAAACAAAAGCTTTACTTTTTTCCTACTGAATGGTTCCATCCTGTAGCAACTTAATGAAAAAGGTTTTTACTAAATTTTTCTCAGGATGGCGAGTTAATACAGTTTGCAATGCCTACCATTATTATAGGTACAAGCACACACTTTTTTCTCCTATGCAAATGATCATTCCCCACTTACCTTGCCACTAAGGACTTCTTCCACTCGCTCCTGGGGCGTCTGTCCAGCTTTCTGCCTTACCAAAATGTACACTGAATTCACCTTAGGACAAGACCTCAGCAGCTTTTCCAGAAGAACCTTTCCTAGAAAACCAGTAGCTCCTGTGAGAAGAACATTCTTTCCTTCATAGTATTCTGGGATTGAAACCATTTTGACCCTAAGAAAACATGAAAAATAAAGTGTTAGTTCAAGCATTTATATTCATTCATATTAGAAAAAAATCCCTTAGTATTCATATACAATACATATTTTAAAAGAAAGGCAAAAATCAACAAGCATTAACAACAGAGGACTGTAACCTCTGTTTGAAGGTAGAAAGAACAAAAAAGGTTATTCCAATCTTGTGTTTTTCCCTTCACCTCAGACAAGTAACTCACCTTAATGTTTCTTTAACAGTTTGTTCTAAAATTCCTTCCAGCAATAACCCAAATCTCTATTCAACCTCTGTTAAACCCTAAACACAACTGAATGGTGTTTCTGTCCCCAAAGGAATTTATAACACCAAATACAGGTCAGCAGTAAGACTCAATTGCCTACTTATGTAACACTGCTAGGTGTCATATTTACTTATCACAGTTGAAACAAGAACAGGTAACACCAAATCCTTTCTCCTACATGTCAGACAGTGACAATATATTCAAAAGGTGTTTAAATTTCCCTTTTTAGAAAGACATAGTAAGAAATACACAGGATTACTTATGCTCCCTACTCAAATTCCACCGAAACACTAGAAAAGATACACTAAGAAAACAAAAAGTCATGATGAATGAAAAATAACCAAAAAGGTACGTGCAGTATGTTACTACATAAGACAATAGAAACAATGCTCTGTACTGTTTAGAATATTGAAAGAATACTGACTGACAGAATATTGAGAGGTCTGAAAAGAGAATAAGGAGCTTCAATTACATTTGTGTTTTATTTATACTGGGGAATAGAGATACATGTGATTTATGTCCAAATTTTTCATAATTAAAGTCTCTAAAAATCTGAAAATAAAAATAACTCCATTATCAAGCAAAAAAAAGGATCTGGGTCAGATAATGAAGCAGAAGAATTTCTAGAGGAGTAACTGAGGCTGAACTGACAGAAGCCATAGCAGACTGAGCAGCCCATGCAAAACTCAGGGAAGGGCCACAAACTGGAGCACGAGCCCCCTTCCCAATGCCCCAGAGCTTCATAGAGTAATCCCAAGATCAGGACATAGACACTGGAGAGGTGAATCAAGGTAATTAAACTGTTGGTCAAAGAACAAAAGAACCAGCTATGAGTCTTACTTTCTGGTAAGTAAGTAACTCTAGGCTTACTACCTTACTTCCTGGTAGTAACTCCAGGCTCACTACCCAACTGTACAGGCAGACAGGTGCTAGGGACAAAAGAGAACTTGCCAACCCAGTAGTTGCTCCAACATCCAAAGTGGGGAAGTCCAGGAATCCACAGAGAGGAAATAAAACTGAGAAAGCCAACATCAGCTACCAAAACCAACCACTCTAGTACTTTACACATGAAAGATTACTAAGGATCACTATTCAAGAAATACAGACAGCAGCAGGTGTGGTAGTGCACCTCTGTAATATCAACAATCAGAAGGCTAAGGCAGGAGGATCAGAGTTCAAGGCTAATCTGAAAGACATATCAAAACCTTGCCTCAAAAAGAAAAAGATTTCAAAACTGCATCCTTATCATAATAATTATTCAAAAAGGGAACACACAACACAAAAGCATTTGGAAATCAGCAAATTCAAATACAGGGGGGAAAAAAATCCAATAAACAAAGTTACAAGTTCAACGGACATAAACTTTATATGACAACTAAATTTATGTATATACCAGCAACGAGAATGTAGTTAAAGCAACAAGACAATTACACTGCTTCCAATACAATCAGGAGCACCAAAGTTACAGGAAATAACAAGTACTTCCAAAGCTTTAGAGGAATCAGAGGGATGTGAGGTAGTTCAGAGGCTGTGGAAAATACTTCGGTAGTTCCTTAAAAAGTTAAACCTAAAATTATCGCATGACCCACCAATCCCAGTGTTAGGTGTATACCACAATGAATTAAAAACAAGTATTCAACAAGCTGACACAGGTTTATACCAGCCCTGTTCTGCAATTTTGTGTTCTTGGATTTTTTTGTTTTGTTTTTTATTTTTGTTTGTGCATTACTGCAGATTGGCCCTAAAACCACCTACACGCTAGGCAGGCTCTCCCCCACCTACAGGCTAGGCAGGCTCTCCAACACCTACATGCTAGGCAG